TGGCGGAGAGAAACGTCCGCAGTCAGAGGGGTGCTAGATAAAGTGGCTGGGATCCAGCGAATGAGAATACGGGGGGCTTCGTACTCGTATTCTTCGGTACTGTTCTATTATCGATCGGGCGTTCGATGAGGGTCATAAGACGAACTCTTGGTTAGGAAAGCCGTCCCTTTCTCTTCTCACTCTTTCGTAAATCCGACTGGTGATCGAATATACTTCACGAGCAACTTGATATTGATGTAAACTTAAATTGGCGCTGTCAAATGCGTAAAATCGAAAGCGCATATCGCATACCTTCAACAAGTCTGCAGCGGTACTCGCGCTTTGCAAACAATGGGTATCCAAGGATTAAGTTGCCTGAACCCATGTATTGTCTTGATGGAATCCAGATTGGATTGCTAGACGTATGATACATACGTGACGCTTCGTGGCTCACCTTCAGAACGGTGGCGCAAAAATTAGCAATTGGAGTCATCAATTGAGCACCTATTCGACTAGAAACTTCGTCGAGCTCAAAGGTGGAACCCTCCACGTCTATCGTGAAATTCATTATGACAATCAAGTTCACGAAAGACGCGCTGAATGACGTGGAAGTAGACCATCATCTTTGATGGTGACGAAGATTTCATGCGGAGCAAGCGTATAAGTTTTCATTCTAGGGAGATTTGGACAGAGCGTGTCGAAGAGCGTTAGAATAATTGGTATAAGAATAAGAGAGGAGTTGAAGAAATTGGGGAAATCAGCCTTCTAGTGGCAGTGGTGTAATGGGCCAGGTTTCGTTACACATGTTGTATGAACCACATACTTTGCGAGTCTAACATTAAGTTTACAACCTGTATAATTGAGAATCCCCTATCAGTTCTGTTGTATCAGAATTATAGGCACTTATGGGATGTTCAATGCCTATTAGCTATAATAAAAAATGTCACTTCGCCTTTCCTCTTCTTTAAGTAAGCCAACGGCCCGCTCGAAGCGAGTAAAACGCGGTGAGGCGTGACAGTTGTCTAAGTCTTCCTCAGTAAGTGTGTGTACACGATCGGGCAATTTATGTTACACAGGACTAAATTACTGCTGATATAATAAGGCTACATGTGATCAAGGCGCTGCGTGAAGATGTTACTGGACGCTTCGTGCATTGCACAGAAGCGCTCGAGTCACACATGAGTACGGGGCTGCTCGACAAATTTGCGTGGCGATAGCGTGTTGTGGTGCCATTCCAAACATGGTTGACAGAATAATCTCGCGCAGAATACCATAAAAGTTTTGAATTGCCCTTAATCAACTGGTACTCTTGGTCGCTACGGTTCTAAGAAAATGATGGCTCACTTTTGAAGGTCTATCGCTATAAAGTGTGAACGTTTCGAGCATACTCGCTAGGCAATTTTTCAGGTTAAGCTAACGACGAAAATAGCGGAAGTAAAGTTTGCATTTGTTTCACTCCGATACTTTAAAGTGGCGACTTAAAAATTTTCTTGATTACTTTGCGATAAAAAGCAGCGAGATCAATTCCTAATATGCGTTTCTTGTCACAAAAACAGTGATATCAATTAATACAGCGCTTTTGTATTCTAAATGTGTGCCTCAATCAATTTATTAGCAATTTAGTGAAGACATCTTCGACACTGGTTTGCAACGATTGTTTAGATCTCTGATGGTTATCGGTGTAGTGTATCCCCCGGGAACTTCTTAAAAATGATCAATTTTTTCGCAGTTATTTTTGTATATTTTGAAATTACCGCTTCCAATTTACAAATTGAATCTCGAAATAGCAGCAGGTAAAGCGTCAAGGTTGAAAGTAGACAACCTCGCACTGATATCACTTCCCTTCGAGAAGTATATTAAAATACACGTCAAATATCATTTTATGAAATATACCGCTGTAGCTTTTATTTCAAAATTTGTGTATACACCATGCAGAGGTTACGTTTGAACACCCCAACCAGCCAATAATTTGTTTTGTTCTGCTTATTTAAAGGTGACATATGTTGAAGATTTTTTTTACTCAACCTATAATCATAAATATAACTCAACACCAAATTTTCTGGACTAAGTGACGTGAGGCTAACAGCCCAATGGCCTCTCTTTATCATACCATATCGCTTCAACACTCCAATACCTTTCAGAACTAACAATTACACAAAACTGTAATGTGAAGTTCATATGATTGGACGATACTATATATCGCACAATTCTACGAAAGTAAAACGTCAAGTACACGATACTACAGGAATACCCAGTGTCGCCCATTTCACCAAGATCCGGATCACAGTGAAATATACTTTTTGATCATTAATCATCGTGCAAAGGTGAGCGCTTGAAGAGCTCACATTGTGCTTAAATTGATCTGCACTCCTTGTACACTACAGTGCTCGCTCTTTAGAGGGTCTTCCTGTCTGAAATCCTCCCCTCGACACACCATGGTATGGCTCAGCGAGCGTGAAGAATGACGCAGCTCTGGTAATCAACGGCTTTAAAGTAATACTTAGTGAAGAGATCAAAGTATCCTTTAACTAGAACTGTCACTCTCCGAGATTTGACTCAACATCTGTAGGCATACGGCGTTGCTGTCCAGTAGGGAGAGGCATTTTTTCCACTATCTTCTCTTTGCATCAGTTACGAAATTCGTAACCGCTTTCTACGGCAAAAAAGCCGGTCGCAGAGTTCGCGATCATCTCGAGCGAGTTTCCATTGATTTAAACGCAGACCAGATAGTCCGGAATGCCCATATGGAAGCACAAGAGACCCAAACACCCCTTGCCTATCCTGTCACGTCGAGTTCATACCTTGATTCATCTATTGTTGCTTGTCGCATCGATGTAAAGCTTTTTCAAGCCGACGCGGTCGGGCCTCCCGCTCACACCAAGAGTGTAAGGAGCGCAAGAAAGTCGGTCCGCAAGGAGTCTAGCCCCTTCCAGATCACCACTTTACAGGTGTTTTGCTTGCGCTAAGTGCAACAGCGGTCGGGTCAGAAGTTTTTCTGATGTGAGTTGGACGTCAACTACTGAGCACTGGCAGAAGTGCCGAAGAATATCGCGCTTGATACGCGCACTAAGCCAGAATGATACGTCTTTTGAAACTGTCTCAATCTTTGCAACCAATCTTCAGTTAAGCAGATGACTGGCTCGATCATCGATGCTTGACTTCGCGCAGTTCAAAGCAAGACGCAGACGTCACAGCAAATGTTTCATTTTGAGTTGTTGCGGTTGACATTCCGATCGTCTCCATTAGACAGTCATCATAACTCGTAATTAAGCATTGAACTTGGAGCAAGGTCGGTCCCTAATCACTGGTGGGAAGCTCGCTTCAACAGTCGACCCTACCGCTTCTCCGGAGGAGATGGTAGCCGAGGGTGTGCTAGGTCACCCGAAGCAGCGGCATAAACGCAATCTTGTCGGATTGATCCTTGGATTCTCATAAATTCTCATTTACTGAAAAAAATCCCGGTGGGTTCGTCAGTCCACTAGACATTTCGAGAAAAAGTAGGTTAACTTTTTCTCATTGATCTCTCTTGATTGTGGAGGCACGTCGACATTTTCTAGGGGTTTCAATTTGCAGCCAAAACATAGATAGGTAACCTACAGATGCGCCATACCACGACTTGACTAAAGCCAAATTGTATTGCTGCTTAATTGCAGATGGTAGTCTGCAATTAAGCAGCAATACAATTTCACCCTGCTCTGTCTTAAACAAAGCTCTTTACATCCGATCGGCTCGTAAGAGTAGGGTTGTGATATGCATTTGCAACTCCACGAAGAACACAAAATGTTTGCAGTTTATTCAGGATATTAAGCGCTATTGTTTACCGGGAACGTGAATGATCTAAAATAATGCAACTGTAACACAGTCATTTAGACCAAAGAGATTGCGTGCGTATGTTCGTTGACTAATATCGGTGATCCCCCTTGCATAATCGTGTGCGGTATTCTCGCTTTCGTATTGGTGTGTTGATTCTGAAGCTTTGCATCGCGCAATTATCTTATTATGTATACGGTTGCTATCAACTAGTTGGTTTTGATCTACAGTCCCTCCCACACTGCGGTGAAGCCATTTCGTTAAAACCCGGGGGCTACCAAACTATTTATGTAAATTGAGTCAGCCTGGAGAGGTGTGTTAATCCCTATGGATAATTTTTCAATAAGTGTGACCTATTCACTCCAGCGTCGCGTTATTGTTAGCGCTCTGGAAGATATTCTCACCGCGCGACCAATGCGTTTACTCCGTTCACTTGTCAGTGGATGGTCAGCAGCTGACATGGCACATCTGGTTTCAATCAAGTGAACAAAGTATACTAGATCTTCTCCGTTAAGCGCGGAACTCGACCCGATATATCGCCGACAGCAGCGAATTGGGTCATTTCGACCAGACTGCAAAGACCACGATTCCGGTTTTGCCGGGTGTGTTTTTCGAAAGTTAGAAAAAAGTTTATACTTATGGATTGTTAATACTGCCGGAACGGATTGGCTGACTAAAAGTGTCAACACATTCGACGAGATTTGTTTAACTCGTTTATAACCTATCACACCTGCATACATATGCGCTTGGCCACTCATACATGTGAAGCCACCCGTATAAAAGGCTAATCAAACACTGGGTGCTACACTGCATGTCCAGCGGTTCAGCAGCTGACCTAAGAATAGCGAATAGTGGTACAACCGTGCAACCACACAAGTCCCATCCGAGATCACAAAAGTTTGCTTTCAAAGCTTCTGGCAGTACAACACAGGTGATAATGCCACCGTGATATGTGACAATTCCAGCTGGAACAACGCTAAGCGCAACCCTACCATATTAGGCTGACCCAGCATATACTTCACGTCCAAGGTATAGTCGACATAGAAAATTTAATATTCCGTAATTTTAAAAAGATGTGATGGCACTACTACGTGCAGCGACGAATGGGCTGTTGAGTTCGCAAACAGATTAGAGGTCGGCTGGTGCACTTAAACTCAGCCCAGGCATACTTCATTGCAAATGGATCCTTTTTGTGAGCTGTACAATTCTCTTTTGCCGTTCAAAACCAGCGAGACTCGAACGCTATCACAAATTCATGTCCATTGGCATCTGCTTGCAAATAAAGCACAGATTAATGGAAAAGGTTTAAGTCTATCAATCATTATGAATCGGCCGATTAAAACCCAAAAAAAACAGAGTAAGGACAAATCTTCAAGCTTTACGTGGAGACTCGACAACATTTTTTGACTGTTCCATCGCATGAGGCACATATACTAAATTCGCTTTTGGCACTCCCTTCGCGTACTATGTACTGTTTTTGGCAATCGTGCGCCGTGCATGAATGTATGATGCTCATGAATCCATCAGGGCTTTCAACGGCATCAAAAAGTCGTTCATATTAACAACAAACTATGAGCACGACCACAATTGGACATAGTTGATTTTTGAGGGGAGGGTACTGTTGACCGCGACCCCCATGATGAGCAGTGTTTTTTAGCTGGCCGCCCTGTACCTACTGGGACTTGATGTTTCCCTGTGAGGGGTTTGTTTGGAGTCTTTGTGTAGAAGCCCGTCGTTTATACTTTCTAGCCAAGAGCGAAGCGGACAAGCAAGGCACAGATGTTTTATAATACTCCAAATTCAACATGTGCAGGTGCGTCCAGCAGCTAATAAATCGTCTCTCTACTTCCTAGCATTTTTAAGATCCATCTTTACTGGTGCACTCATAAGTTTACACCTCCAACACCCCATCTAGGTCTTGCAGAATGGAAGTTGTGCTCTGCTTTGAAATTGACGCCCACCGCTTTCTCGAAAAGGTACGGAAGGTCTCAGGGTGAGCTGCACCCATCTATGATAAATATGACCGTTACCGCATCCGAAATAGAGTCATACTCTATTGCGGCGATTAGAGCCTGGACATTATATCCCAGTCCTTGCTTTCCTAAACGTGTAGACAAGAACTTTGAGTATACTAGATGCGGATCATAAATACCGACAACTTCTGTAAAGTGCATTTCATACAAAGAATTCATTGTAATTAATATAATTGTACCAAATGTGTTAGGATTAAGTACAACATGCCCTGTCTGTGCCCAATGCCTTCTACATTTAAAAAAAGACCGATGCCATCATTACGGAGCGTTTGAGCCACCTAACCGCCACTTATTTTAAGCTGCGATACTGTCCTCAGCATGACGGCCCTTTTGAAAATTGACACTGTTCGACTGGGTACATGCTTGGAGCACAATTATTTCTTGCTTACGCCACATCGGAACCGAGGTGCACCGTTTTGCCATACCTGTCTGTGGTGGCAGATTGATGACAAAACGAGGTGTTGAAACAGGGTAGTAAAAACTACTCATGTATCATGCACCGCATATACTTTCCAGCTATAGGGGCATACGCTTGCAGGCAAATCGCGTCTGCTCTAAGTTCAAATTCTCGATGTGGCCCGCAGTGACACCTTGCGACACCATGCGGATACTGCAATAAATAACACTCGCCCATTCCATGCGCTCCTCTTCAGTGCGCGTTTGTAAAACCAGCTTATCCGAGGGCGATCGTGCCACAACAATGCATAGGTCTCGATCTGGTATTTTTATCAAGTTTAAATAGCAACCAGACAATGAAAAGGACTTGCAATGTTTAAGCTCGGCAGAAGACTTTTTGCCTCCAGTAAACGACGACGCTTGCTTGTAGTAATGTATTTCCCCGTTCGTCACAACAACCACGCGTCTCTTCCAGTTTTCAAAACCGGAGCGGGACTTTTTAATCAAAACTCCGCGCTTATATGGAGGTAATAAAAATTCCAGCTGTAATGGGAATGACGACGCGCGTAGAATTTTACGAGCCTTTTTATACGTCTCTCTCAATATGCTGCGGCCTTCGACAGAGATAAGTTGGCTACCCACTGCAATCCCACGTTTTTGAGGACTTGATACCACAATAAGAGCCTCTGTGCGCTTGTCCATTTCAATATCGATATCCTCAGCTCGTTTATAAAGCACCTTGATCTTTCCCAACGGAATCTGTTCGGCGCGCTTGATCACTAGAGACAAACCTGCGACAGTTTCCTTGTTGCCTGCCACTTTACTTAGAGCCGTCTGTGCTTCCTGCAGCGCCTCAATCCACAAATGCATTGACTTTTCATTGTGAGCGTTTAAGTGCATCTCAAATTTGCTGTCCTTAGACGTCAATACAAAATAGTACTTCCGCCCGTCAGGACACTGTGCCATGCCAGGGCTAACGATTGTATCTTTAAGTGGAACTGAACCCTTACATTTGTTTTGATTCTCCGTGTAGTACCGTAATTCACCTTGTTGAATCCGAAAAAAGCGGGTTTTCCAGTTCTTGTTCAAGTGGCCACGCTTCAGCAGACGACCTTCCATATGAATGTATGACGTCGGGTCGTCAAAGCGTTTCCACTCGTGATTGCACACTGTGTCGTTAACGAAAAACTTAACAGTTTTACGAAGCGGATCCCATGGCTGAGTAGGCAGCGCGCCAGCTCTATGCAAAAGAGCGATCCATTTGGCCATCATGTGCTGCGACGGCGCTGAGATCATGAGATTCCGCTGCGGTGTCGAAATGACGAAGACAAAATTCTTGTCCATCGAATTCGACTGCACTGAGACTTCTGCCTTGGATCCATATCCGAGATCCAAAGACCCTTTCAGCACTTTACCAGTCTCATCTGTAAAGTACGACAAGACACCATCATTGCGCAGCACGAAAAAGCGCCATTTCCAAGTTTTGAAGTGTTGTCCACACTTCTCGAGCCAGCCCTGGATCACCACACCCATTCCCTCATCTTCTGGGCGCAAAGCTATGTCAGGATTGGGTACCATACTGCAAGTAGCTTTGTTATCTCTCAATCTTGCAGCTTCATCTTTATTTGTCACTTTCATTAAAGCATTTTGTCCCTGATCCGAGTCAGAAGAACGCCCTAGTACATTTATCCAGGAAAAACGATTAACATTGCTAATATCGGTATGCTCTGAGGTTTTCTCCGTTAGTATTGCCGTCTTAGTGTTAGATCTTAAAGCTAACTCTGGAGCCGGAACAAAGTCATCGTCAGCTCCAAGAGACACATCCGAGTCCGACTCGTACTGAGGCGGTGGCGTTAACATTTTCGATGCCGAGGTGTCGTTGTGTACGGTGGATGAAAATCGATGATCGTGCTGCTGGTAAGAGTCTGGTCGTCTTTCAAAATTAACTGCTTGATGCGTCGGCGCGTACGTGGGTGTGCGGGTTTGCATTTCCCACGTCGTGTGGCGGCGTTGAATTTGTGGTTGTCGCTCGTCCGCTTCGTCGTCCTTGGCACGATGTCCTGCCGGCTGCGACGCCGAAAAATCAAGACCCAGCCACTTTTTCAAGCCCATAGAAGCAGAAGATTAATTGGTAAAGCGTGTGAAAAATGTAGAAGCAAGCTACAGACGTTCGGTAGGGCAGCGTGTCGCAAACTTCACGTATTATTGTATGCTTCGTGAAATCAAAAATTTTCGATTAGTGAGGTGCACAATTAAGGATATTTTCTTAAGTTGACCAGGCTTATGTTAACCTTTGGTACGTGAATGGTGGGTCGTGTGCAACATTTTTTCGAGCTTCCGCAACTTGTAGTTTCGAAGTGACGAATTATCGCCCTGAGCCTCACGAAGGTATCATTATTGGTCATGGATGGTCTGGACTCCACGATGGAACTTCTAAATGTGTCATCAGTAAATACGGGAAACGGAAAGATAAAATTAAATTTAGTATTGAGGATTAAGAGATTCATGAGATATTTCAATAGACTATAGATTTTAATATCTGCTTCATTGAGATAAAAACATCATTGCGAAGAAGTATTTTCTGCAGTATTGACGATGATGGACTGGCTGACTAGAACCGGATGACTCGACCTAAGTTATCAAACTTAGTACAATTTGATAGAAATTGCTGATTCGTATGGCAAACAAGCAACGACACATTTGCTTAATTAATGCGATATGACTTCGTAAAATCTCACAAAATTGTCGTGATTTCTTTTGCAGTCTGAAAACTAACAACAACGCTATGCCGTTGTGCTTGAGGCACAAACTGAGGCTATGTTATCGTCAGATACAACAACGCAAGTAGGCTTGGTTACACTACTGAAAAAGTTCAGCCGGAAATAGCTTTGGCTCCAGTTGCTCGTCCACGAGAAATTTGAGAGGAAAGTACACAATATGGCCTTGTACGTTGCTCAATTCGTGCTTCTTCTTGGCGATATGAGACCTTTCTTTCATGTTCACATTCAAGGCACCACTAAACACCGACTTGCGCCCACGCATGCCGGCTCCTCTTGAGCTACTCAGGGGCGACATGACTCGATCACTAACCGAAGATATGCAGCCTGGATCCTCGCTATTGCTAGCAACATCTGTCTTGTCAGTCCCCATTGCCGCAGCAACTGCTTCTTCTGCATCACGACCAGACGTGTCAAGGCCTTCCGCGGACTGAATGTGTGAGTCGATCTGTGCAAAGCTTGTCACGCTATCGGAGGGCAAGCACCCAAATACTGAATCGTAAATCTGATGGTTTGCCATGGCCTGCTCTTGCATGGAGAACCAGGCCTCATTGTTTACGGGATCTTGATACTTATTATACATCGGAGTTCCAGGCTGCACACCAAAGTGCTCCTCAAACAGCTTCATGCGGAACGAGTGAGCAAACTTGCCAACATTGTACGCGCCATTAGCTATGCATATTTCCTCGTCCATCTCATGGTCTTCCACAAGCACAGCAATCTCTGAGTCACGATCTCCACACAAACTGCGATCGTTGATATTTGCAGAACCAATAATACAAGCTCGATCATCAACAATCATCACCTTGCTGTGAATGTATATCTCTTCGGTCTGGGCTTGGGCATTCTCACGAACACTGTGATTACGTAGCCCGTAAAATGCAATGTATTTAAACGGATCATCATCCTCAAACTCCTCGTACAAACGCTGATAAATCGAACGCTCGCCGCGGCAAATTGAGCGGTACTGCCAGTGCATCACACCGCGCAAACTACTGGCATCTTTGTCATCCGGCTTTCCTGGGAACGCTGGCAGTAGCGGCATCAAGACAATGACGCGAAACTTTTCGTTATTGTCCGAAGCGCGACGGATCCGTTCGACTAAAGCGTTGGCGATGCGATTCGAGACTCCGTGATCGCCTTCCAGTCCAGATATAAAAAACTGGTTCTCAATATACACAAAGTGCTGTGCCGATCCGATGAGACGAATGTAAGCGTTTTGAATACTGCGTTCCGTAGTCACACCACCTGACCACAAAGACAAACTGCGCAATATTTGCGTTGTTACTCGGTATCCTCGAGCATCTACTTCCTCCTTGTGTTGTTGAGAATCATCATGTTGACCCTCATCTCCATCCGATAGATCAAGCAACACCTGATCGTTATCGTCTTGAAGGATTGGGACAGTGCCCGACTCTTGTTGACTGCTCAACATGCGCGCCATGCGCCGATCACTGTTAAATCCTCGATTGTCTGTATTTGCACGACCTCTTGACAAGCCACGCATCGCTCGCACAGCGTGCACTGCCTTTTGAAATCGTTTTCTGAGGTTCCGTGGGTCACGTTTCTTTTTAATTGACGTGCTCGGGAAATCTCTCATGGGCACGAGATGATGCAGTTTTCGTGATTTCCTACGAGTCGACACAGAGTAATTCCAGCGTTGCACAAAATGACGTGCAACATCACGAGCTGGTTGCCCTTCAAGACGACAGTGACAATCGTGCCACGGCATCCGAGGCACTTCGTCACGGTCAATCATGTCCTCGTCGGGGCGATCTACCTCAACGAAGTCCTTGACCCGCGGATTTGAAAAGTCTTTGCCCTTAAAGTTAGTCGGATTTTCAGGCTCATCAAAAAGCTCGTGTCTGTGGGTATCCCATCGTCCAAAGCAAAGATCGAGCCCACCGACAAAACTAACGCGTTGATCAACGCTCACAATCTTTTCGTGATGAGACCACAATCCAAGTTGCTTCATTAAGAAGTCAGGATCACGCAGCACATGTACATTCTTGTGCAATTTGCTCAGCACCTGCTTCGAAAACATGCTGTTAAGTGTTAATGCCATGGATATTTCCTTGTACATGAGAACATAAACTTGTACTCCTTCTTCCGCTTTTTTTTGTAACGTAAGGTCAAGTCTCGATTCTGGATAATGCTCAGCAGGGCGCAAGAGATGAATCGTCGGACAGACCCACCACCCTGCAATAAATATTTCTTTTTTCGCCGACTGGATCGCGTGGTAAATCGCTTCGTACGCACCTTTACCATCAACATACCATTGAGCAAGCGATATCGTGTGCAAAGGATTGCGTGGAATTGCAAAAGATCCATCTCGATGAGATTGAGACCAGGTCGAGGCCTCCGCTACCCGGCGAATATCATTAGCCCATTTCTTAAGAGTATGTTTCGACTTAGCCTCTATTTGAAGAACATAGGTCGAATTCGATACTAAAAGTGTCGTACTGGAGCCTGTGGTAGCAAGACCACGTTCAATGTCGAACTTACTGTCAAATAGGAATGCCTTGCGCGCAATTGTGTCCTCAATTGAGTCAAAAATGGCAACACTCGACGACTTGAGGGATACCCAACGTAAGCGTTTGGCGCGGAAATTGACACGTTTCACCACACACATACAATTAAAGCACTCATTGTCCCACGAGGCCGAAGCACGATTAATGCGGACATTTTCACGGTTGCCTTTAAGCCAAAAACGGATCTTCAACCAGCCTTCACGGACAGAGGTTCGGCCCATTTCATCGTCGAATGTTGAGTTGCTAACCTGGAACATTGCTGCAACATACGGTGATCGAAGCAGTCGTGGCACCTTAACCACGGTTTCCAGCAATTGCTGAACGAGAGCAACCATCTCCGAGCCCACTGACTTGTCAGCAGATGTCAGAAAAAGTTTACGTAGCTGTGGCCATCGAGATTCAGTAGGAGCGTGTGTGTGCTCTGGAACTCCAGACTCGCCCAATCCATGGGCAACGTGCTCTTCTCCAGGTGCTGACGGAGTATGACGAAGATGTGGTCGACTTTTGATGTAAAACCAAAGACTCGAGATCGATGACTTGGGGATTTCCACTTTCCACTTAAAGGTTTTGTATTTCAGCTGCAATCATTTCAGTATAGTTGAATATTTCAGATCCGCAGCAAAAGAGCAAAAATTGCGTACCTCAACATCATACTCGACGTATCGCGTGGGCCATGAGTCTTCAAAACGACCACCAAGTACGCGTACCTCGGGTGGCTCGTCAAACACGTAAATGTCCTCGTCAGTGTTGTGGTGGAGGAAGCCAAAGTGGTCGGCTGAATCCACTTGCGGTGGACCACCTGTAATCGAGCCTGGTCCAGCTCCATCGAAAACCGAGGAGCCCGTGTGCGCAAATTGAGGATGTTGTGAATTTTGCTGCTGTTCCTGTCCAGAAGTAAATACGTTAGCGACGCTTGACGACGCTGGCACCGTGGTGCCCATAACACCAGACGTTGAATATTTATGAAATGGGTGAACTTGGTACAAACGCTGGCTTTTAGAAACTATTGGCGCAATATGCGTCGTGATTGGCTAGTTAGAGGTGCGAAAAATGCAGAAAGGCCGTGACCACTTTGACTTGAAACCCCCCGTCTCCCGTCTACATAAAAGTGATACTGAGTAACCTAAGTACGAATCGCAGTTTTTGGCAATAAAATTATACACAATCAGATTGTAGAATTGACCACCACAGCATCTCGACAAATTTGTTACAATTTTCACGCCCACTTATACATTTTCACTGGCTAAGGATTAACACTGCGTGCGAAGGGGAGTTTCTGACAAAGATAAAAGAATCTTGAGCAAAAATGACACTCCCACTAAAGTTATTTAAAGGTATGGCACAGCTTGTTCACCAGCTAAATTCGTAAAGGTTCCACTAAATACAAGCACCTTCCGTCGTTGTATAGGACATTATTAAGAAAGGCATTGACTTCGCTCTTTGCTCCCGTAACCAATTTGTTGCCCTGGACTGACTTCATGCAATTGAATGAGCAAACAAATTTAAATTGTGCATTAAGGGGTTTTACACCAAGGGGTTGTTGTGAAATAAAGCGTAATGAATTTTACAAAGAATATGGATCAACGCGGACTGTGTAATGTAGAATGGCGGTTTTTATTCGTGCTGTAGAAAGCATAAGATTGAACCCTAGCATTTCCCCCACTCTCAAAAACGTCTACTCAAGTTCGTAATTCCCGACAGCTTATTAAATTTGACGAAAACACGGGTATCATCTTCATAAATACCGACACTTTTGTAATTATGCAAAAGTGTAATGTAAATTTCGTAAAACTGAACTTTTAGTACCCGAAAGATATTTTTCACCTTGTTTTATTTCTGAACCGGACTCCGTTTAGCAGAGCCATCCAACACGTGGGCTCCTAGCCGCACGTCAAGCAATAAATGCAGTATCACTTTATGAAATACATTTATATATACATTTAGTAGGAGTCTAATTCAAGTCAATTTAAATACATGTGCTTTCGAGATAACGGAGATAACAAGACACCTATTTACTTTAGAAGCTCCTTTGATGAAAAGACCGTACCAACCCAACCTCTGTGCGTTGAATAGGGCGGACATTCTGCGTCAAAGATCTCTTTGTGCAATGTGCACGGCAACTCCGTTGCACTAGGTAGCACTTGTAGTCAATCCCACGACAAAAACTGTGTCTTCTGCGTGGATGAAGCATTAAATACCAAAGGGGACAAATAGTTCGGCTTGGGAACTGGTGGTCATAAAGTGCACTCGGTAATTGCACGCCTGGTAGCGCTCACCAGCATTGAGAATGCACGGTTAATATAGCGTCCCAGCTACTGAGCTTGTTGGTTAGATCATTATCCGCGAATCAGTGATGCATAAAAATTTCTGATAGATTAAGAAGCGTCTTGCAATTGCTTGTGATGCATGACTCGAAATCAGCAGAAAACGCGAGGAGAAATTATGCAAAATAATGAAGAGATGTATGTGCGCCTTGCAACGGGACACAGGAAAAGCGTCAAAGTTCCTATAATAATATCTCTGGTCAGCCATGAACTGGTCTCTGTCGTGAAACAAAGTTGCCTTTGGCGTGAGCACGAAGCTGCCATAATTTTAGTGCATCACATGTGCAGCAAGGCTGCCGTAACTCTTTGCTTAGAGGAAGCATACTAAGGTCACCGACCTTACGTTCTATACCAGAACCAGTACGAGTGTAGCGGATCGCAATCCGATACCTCCAAGAGTACCCTAAACCTTAACCACTCTTTTATTCAAAATTGAAACTGTATTTATTTGTTTCATTTGCAGCAGAGCCACCTAAATTTGAAACTTTAGGTTCTCTGATTAAATAGTAAAACCTAATTAATATACATATCTACTGGCAGTTCCGCCACGTAGTGGTTTCTTGCTACGGTGTAGCCGCACAATTACACAAACATGTGTGATTCACACATTTGTACGGTCACACCATTTTGTGTGACGTACTCCTGTATACCAGGGCACGTGTAATTCTGTTACGCTCTGGATACGCGTCACCCAGTTACTCTCTTCCCCATCAAAAATGTGAATACCCACAATCCACGTTTAACTGGCGCTTCATAATAGGCTCGCGTGTCTAAGACACCGTCACGTCCTTGAAAGCTCTTTGACCTTTCTCCGCTCAGCCAGCCCTGTGTCTATGACACGCAAAACACCTAGCCTAGCTGATTCCGAGGGCGCCCGCGAGCAAAAAAACCTTCTTCTTCTGCACGGGGTGCATCTCCGGACAGTACGTCTTCACGGGAAGCCCATCCCAAGCACTCGGCAACCGGGCGCCACACACTGCGCCCGCCCCGGGCGACGGAATTTTCGTCGAGGATTTGGAGGAAGTCGTCTACGAGTACGATAATCCTTTCCCAGGATGGGAAGAAGTGGAGGGCGAGGTGTACCAACGGCACGACGTGAGCCCTTGCGGACCCCGTGTCCGTTCCCCGACCTCTCGACTTTAGGGGAATGTGATATTATTACCAATCGCCTCGACAAGGCGCAGGCAGCAGCTGGAGGCGCTCCTATACCCGCAATGCGGACGATTCCTGTGGTGCTCGCCCCTGGCGAAATCGTTGCAGATGATGAGGAGCTTTTTAGGCGATGGGTGCAGCGGCATCGATAACTTCCCCGCTGTCTATGTCTATTTTACAGTGAAGCCACAAGAAAGTCGACGTGCGCGTAGAACGCCATCTTCGATTTGGATTTGCCAGACTCAAGGCGAAACGCCAAATTTTTGCGTATTGTCGCCCTGCGATACATGGAATAATCCATCGCGCTCCCGCGAGCAGTGTATTATCTCACACGGTTGAGTCTACGACCACAGCAGCTCAGGGCCATAGTTTGAGCTCAGCTCATGGCCTGTCGACTTCCTTGGCTATTGCTGAGGAGCACGGGGCGCACGACGATGCGAAGCGTCATGATCGTAAGCTTTCACGACGACTGTGAAGTTTTGCCGATGTGGCACCACAAACTCCCACGAAATCTCAGAGTTTGGGTATCTCCGCCACTTCACAAGATATTAGGTTTGACCTTGGTGACGAAGTCGACCCACAAGGCGTTCTACATAATAGTGAACGCCAGTATTCTCATCGAGTTGAGTTGACATCTGGCGATGAAGACTTGATCGATCGCCGTCCGGTGACTTGCGATGCTCTACGAGCATTGGGGGACAAAGTCCGTCGTCATCGGCACTCTGCCGAGCATCTAGCCGAGGTCACATGCCGCTGTGCGGAAGACCTCAAAAGGTCAGAGTACTTTTTGCACCGACTGCCTCACGTTAAGAATTATCGCACTCTGTCGGAGCGGCTCCTAGCCGTCGAGCAGACGATTACGTCACTTCGTGCGACGGTGGAGCGCCATGCGATGTTGGAAACAGAAGTTGTTGCACTTCGTGCTCAGAATAGTTGCTGGATCAGCTTCTGGGTAACCGAGCGCCTTTGAGCCTCGCCCGGGTGCCAACGCTTCCGTGTTCACTTGCGCCGGATCCCAGAACGGCTAAATCAAGCCCACATAAATCATCGGGTGAGTGCGTATCCTTCTCGGAAGGTTCAGCGTATGCGCAAAGCCTCGCTTGGCTACGACCTTAAAAAGTAAAAAAAACGTGGACAGAGCGTTGTCTTAAAGACAGTATAAACTGCATGGGAAGGAAGGTTTTGGCACTTGATAAAACCAGGTCTTCGACCTCAAAGTTTTCCATATTTTTCTGCTTCTTTCATCTGCATATTCTTTCTGCGTGTATTGGCTTTCAGCCATCGCATCGCGAACGTGTCGTAAGCCACTCAGTCTGGTAGACTTGAAGTCATCGCCTTCTTTACGGACAGTGAAGGGGCTGACATCAGCAAGCCGCTCGGCTATTCCTCCCCCACCAAGTTGAGTGGCATGTTATCCACTGGACAAAATTGCGGAACTAGCAGCTTTTCTTCGGCTGTTGTTAATAACATCAAGGCGTGGTGGATTAGGTAGTGGAGACACTGGACGGCGCTGAGTGCGTGTTCTCACTGGTCTTGCCGAGACGTCCAACCTTTGTGAAGAGACGACGGCGATGTCGTATGTTATCTATAAGATGCCGATCGTCGTCCCTGACCCAGGATGTGTCTACCGTAGACAATAGCGCAAAGCTATTTACCCTCGTCAACGGTATGACAGGGGATGAAGATGGCGACGTCACCCTGACGCTATTCCTGCTGTGAATGCTCTTCTTGAGCTGAACGAGATATCCATCGAAGGGCTCGGCAGTGCCTTGAAGGCAGGAAGCTTAGCCGAAGTGGTTGTTATAGGACCGAAAAAGGAGAAAAACTTGTCGTCGCTTCTGGATGAAGCTATCCTGGAGGACACTAAGAAGGTGCTGAACGCACGGAGTGGAACGTCGATCTTGAAAGATCCCTCGAATCCGTACTATTCTTTGCTTAAGGGATTTCAAGACATCATCTCCAGAAGCCCGCCGTTGGTGCTACCACCGGACCAAGGTGTGCGTCATGATTTCAACCTGGTTCGGGGACCAAATACTGCCTAATACGCAAATGACCCCTGCCCATGAAGTATTGTGGCGTCTTTTTCGCGTGAAGTACGAGGCAGGAATGGTGCGTGAGAGCAAGTCTTCCAATTCGACATCCACAATTTGTGTCAGAAAGCCGAATGGCAAGCGGCGAATCGTTTACGCTTGTAATAAGCTCAACGCTGCCACCATTCCGGCCAAAACGCTGATTTCTAGAAAATACGTTATCCAAAACAATATGGTTGGCTGTACAAAGTGCAGCGCACTCGACCTGGTCGATGGTTAATTTCAATTGCTTATGAGAGCGAGTGATTTCCGCTGTCAGCGGTGAGTACTCCAAGCGGGATGCTCTGAGAGAGGACGGTGATGCTCCAAGGGCTGTCAAATGCACCAGTAACAGTCAATCGTCCTGTGAGGCAATTGTTTAGGCCCCACTGGGCGTATGCGCAGACATGCTTCGACAACATCTTCGTCCATAGTTGCGCGGAGCACGGGAGGACGGGTGAAGAGAACCACATCGTCCATTTGAGAGCGGTGCTCGAGTGCATGCGCAAGAATAAGATGTAAAATAATGTAGTCAAGTAAATTTTTGGCGCCAAATAATTCCCTTTTTATGGTGCTTCATCGGGTAGCGTGGCCTTCGAGAGAATCCCGCTAAGGTCAAGGTCATTGTGGACTGGCCAGATCCAAAGAGCCAAGAGGACTTGCGCAAGTGGCTTGGCCTCGCCGACTCCTTACACAAGGGTAGCGGAACCGATGCAGAAATGGCACGGTCATTGTCAAATCTCCTTAAGAAGGATATGGAATGGTGTTGGAACACCGATCCTTAGGAGGCATTTGACGGGGTCAAAGACGGCCTCCTGCATGCACCAATACTGGCGCTGCCAGACCCTGATCGTCCTTTC